ATAAGGACTACAGTATACGGGGGGTCTCAAGTATATATGGTAGTTTCCCTAAATTACTGTTCCCAAAATGGGGGAAATTTTTATAGGGCCCCGTACTATAATGGGAACCCAAATATAGGACCCCGTATTATAGGGAATTTAGACCAATACCCATATGAAAACTAGATAGAGATTTTGGCAATTCGGGCTGCCAGCGGACAGCTTATGTGAGGGATATTTGAGAAGCTCATTGAACATCTGCAAGAAAGGCTTGCGTGAGGGCATGAATCCATGCCTTCCGAGCTTTTCCAGAAGGCGCAACCTGCATCAGCACTCCCTTTGCACCAAGCATCCTCTGTTTGCGGCTTGCCTGGCCATCAGCTCTGCGTCTTCTGCAGTGCCCGCATAACCCACACTGCTCGGTACCTTTGAGTTGCTCAGGTTTGGTTTGTCCCAGCAGCACCAGCGCTCTTACGCAAAAGGATGAAACCACGCCTACCTCCTCAGACGTGAACTCCCCCATCCCCAAATAATGGGTGTTCAAGGTACTACATTACTAGGTCTGGAATATTTGGAGGGTTGTGCCTCATCCAGCAGCATCGTATCTTGGCCAACGCCGTCCTATTGGGAACAATGAACAGTGGCTTTGTCGGGCCTGAGCCTGTGCAAGATCATCATAATCTTTGCTGTCTCTACTATTCTTGTTGTCATTACTATTACTATTACTATTCCTTGTCCTTACAATTACAATTACTATTACTATGAACCTTACTACTGCTATAACACTCCGTGAAGAGCTGCTGCAACCGAGCCCGGACTCCTCTGCCTCCTGCAGAATGGCAGATGTGTGATGCCAAAGTTGGCGCTTCGTCATAATAGTAGTAAAGTGTAGTTCAAGGCAATAAGTACAAGCTGACGAAAAATGGCACTTCCAAAGTACCAAGCAGGTCCACTCTGGGACTATGCTCTCTTTCAATTCAGGCAGGCACTAAGTACACCGTAGTGATGACATTCCTGGTGATAACACGAATGATTCACTGTAATCCCGCTGCATCCCAGAGAACTTACATGACGCCACCTCGCATGCAAGACGGGCAGGCTGCAGATTGCAGCGCCAGGTGCTGTGGAGCTGTCTGTCCACCTCAACATGTGCTGAAAGTGGCCGCACTAAGCACGATCGCTTTGGACAGCCCACGTAGTTCTGGCTTGGAAACGTGAAGACAAACTCTGTCTGCAATTGACCGAGTATATTGCTCTCAGGAAACATAGGTTTTGGGGCTTACACGGACAGCTGCACTCTGGAGGTCCAAACATTTCGAAGAGCAATTCTGGCCAGCTTTGGCATGACCTGAGGTTCGGGATGGCGGACATGCCCTGGTCCGGCAATGCTCAGAGAGACACGAGTGCCCAGCTCGGTAACCACGCATGGCTGCATCGAACTCCAACTGCAACACTTGTTGGGCCTCCAGACTTCAACAAGACCGGCATGAATCGCCAACTCCTGCTGCTGCTGCTGCTGCTGCTGCTGCTGCTGGCCTCATCCGTGAGAATGTGCAACGTCTTGCAATCAGCCTGACACGCACGTGCGGTTTAAGGCGACGCCATAAGGCGACAATGTGCGCAAGTGTCATGGAATGCAGGGTCCTCCATGGCTTCTGCAATTTCTGGGTCATCAAGCTCGGCATCCTGCTGCTTGCAGACCAAGAACTGTTTTTGTGTCCTGTTCGTTTTAGCTCCTAGCCGTGGGACAACCACATCGAGCTAAAGAGCAATAACATGCAATAACCCTGAACCCCCAAAGCCTCTGGCCTGCTTATAGCTCTTGCTCCACTCATGCCAACAGAATCAAAGCTGCTGGTCTTCTGGCCGGATCTGTCACCGGCATGTTCCACGCGTGCACCGCGCGGGCGCGCCAAACCCTCATCTTTTGCTGGAACCCATATGACTTAGATTTTTTGAGGTTTACGAGTCAACAATCTCGCCAGTGCTGCTGTATCTTCGTCACCCACTGACACCTGTTTGCACTTGCCACCTGTCCTCCACCAAGTGAGCGACCTGACACTGAGAGGCAAGCATTGGAAGCGGATAGCCGTCAGCACTTTCCGCTGGTTAGGAGACTAAAGCTCTCGTTTGCCCCAAGCAAGCTGAACACAGCCTTACTAGTGAGAGCCTTTCCAGTGAGATGAATCCATGGACAACCTACATTCCACCAGCCTGGTTCAGGACTTTCACTCCAGAAGCAGCTGCACAAGCCTGGCTGAAAAACACATGAAACTTGGCCGGCGAACTCCAAGAAGCACCAGGCCAAGTTGTGGAGGCCAGGAGGTACTCTGGGATATCTAGGAGCATATATATATATATACAAGGCTTATACAAAGCCATTACCCCAACAATGGAACTGTAAGTCGAAAAATAGGAAATGGAACATAAAGAATACGGGCAATGGAAACACCCTAGCAACGGTAACCCGCCCCCAAACTAGCATGGAATCCCGTGTAGCTCTCTGTGAAAGGACAGGGATCTCATGGCCATTTCGTGGGGTTCCATGTTTGGGGGAGCGTAGAACCCGACCGACCCCGTTTGTCTGCCTTCAGCGCTGTTTTCAAGCATCGATCGCGCTCCCAGGCACCTTCACCATACCTGCTCATTCAGGGAACCCAATACCGCTAAATTTATGAACGTGCCGAGGAATACACCCGCAGGACAATGCGTGGTATGACATACCCACGTCTTGTATGGGATCCTAATATCCTTTAAGGTATGCTCCTAGACTATCTACTAGTACATTGCGAGGGATATACAGCTATACCAGAGTTGCGTACAGGAGCGGTTCTGTTTATGTAGGGCCCGACCCCACGATCGCTAAACCCGTTTCTGAGCCCAGTGCCTGTTCTACGTTCCGTCGTCTGTTCCATTTGATTCTCCATCATTGTCATTAATGTTGAGCATTTTTCCAAGGGCCCTATTGTTAGGAGAGGGGCCCTCAAAACTAAAGCAGGTCCAACATTAAATTGGGCCCTACAGTAGGATTTCGGGGACAGAATCGCGCCAAGGCACTTTTTGTCCCAGTGTCGTGGCACCTGGGCCACGTGGAGCTCGCCCTGGCACGGAAAAATGCTTCAATGCGCCAACCTTCCTGGTGCTTAACTGAATAGACATACGATTATCAGCCATCACATGAGATTCTTGTAAGTATCCACTCCCATACTCTACCAGAAGCACCGGTGAGAAACTCACAGCTGCTGGATAGCTCGGAAGAAACAAGGACAACTGCTGAGCAGGAAGCGCATACAGGCAGAGATGGGGAGGGACAGGTCAACAGTCATAGAGGGCGAAGAGGTCTTGAAAACGAAGGATTTGCGGGCGGCTTGCTGTGAACTGTTCCGGCTGATTGTCTCAATCTCGTTTGCCAGACAGTCTGTTGCAGGATTCATATGTGCGACAAGAAAAAGATCTGTGATGACTCGGTGATGACTGTGATGGAGTCTGCGCGCGCGTGACCGTCAATGATCGTTGTGCCGTGTGCTTGCACTTCAGGCATTGGAGCCCTGGAGGGGCCGGTACTTATCCATGATCAGAAGCCATCTGTATCAGCACGGCCTCAGATTTCTGGCGAGAGCTGGAGTTTGGCTAGCAATCAGTGGTGAATGGACATGCCAGGGAAGAGCAAGCAGTGGAAGGGGCACGAAAGTGCAAGCAAGATGAAAGGAAAGAGAGAACGGGATGTGGAGGAAAGAAAGAAGAAAGGAAGGCAGAGAGGTCAGGCACCATCAAGTGAGGCAACCTGCAAGCATGCACAGGTCATCCTTCTCCTTCAGCAACTCCCGAAGCTTTGATGCAAACTGTTGCTTGTTGCCGAAACCTGCCAGCAACAAACTGGACTCATGCTGAGAACATATACACATATATATATATATATCGTGGTCAGGATGCGAGGCTCGCACGCTCGTCCTCGGCGAGACCTTGAAGCGGCACTCGCGAACACCTTGGGGTCACCATTCATCTTGGACTGGGTGCCACTGAGGCTGCATGTAGATGACGTGCACACCCTTGTGGCCAGAAGGCTGAGAGAAAAAACAACATTAGCGCTGCGGTGGAGGTTCAACAGACATGCACATGCTAGGCGCATTTGTTAAAGACTCATTGTTCCATTATCAGCTGGGAGCAATGCTCTTCGTCATGTCGCTCACCGCCATAATACGAACACGCCTGCAAAATCCAAATGGTAGGGGAAACGGCTCGAATAAAGACACGTAAGACATCTTCGCAACCCTCCAATCTCAAGTTAGGGGGCATTGAGAACTTACATTCCGGAGGGCGGCCTCGCAGCAGTAGGTGTCCCAGGCCTCGTAGCAATGTTGGGGAGCGCAGGTTGCAGACTTGCTGTGGTTTCGCTCCCTGGTGCCTAGCATGAAGCGAGAAAGTGGAAGATTCTACGGGGCTAACGACAGGGACCCATTCCCTCCTTCCCTGCAGCTCCCAGAATTCACTTCAGGGTGGTCAGCTCAGCCACTGGCGCTTATAACCCGAAACTCACAGTTCTTCGTGGCACATTGCAGAACCTGGCTGTTTGGTCGACCCTGCTGGTTGCGCAGAAGCTGTCACTCACAAGGCATCACCTTTTTGACTCACCGTGCGGCGTCATCAGCTAGCCAGCTATGGGCCAGAAACACGCACTAAGCGAGTATGTTGAGAATGTTGAGAAAAGACATTCGTATCGTGCTTCACTGCCTCTTTGAGGCTAGTCAAGCAGTCTACAACCGGCAAAAGGCAGGAAGCGAGCCAGCAACCAGACACCAACCATTATTCTTATCAGCCTTGCATCTACATTTAGGGCCATCACCAGATAAACCCTGGCCGCTATGCCTGCGAGACATCACAGCATATGTGTCAGAAGCATCTGAATGGCTTCAGGGATTGGCCGTGGCCTCCATACTTTGGGAGGTGCAGTTAAGCCTTCGGCTGTGGGGTGGCCTCTGTGGCTGGTGGCCACGTGCCTGGAGGTGTGCTCACGCAGAGTCTTAAGGCATCTCAGTAGACACCACCTGCCTTAGAACTCCCATGCTGCCATGTCAAGGCAAGGGGTCAGAATGCAAGGCATTGAAAAGCATCCATAGAAACGAAGTGCTTGGAGACAAGGCCAGGCGAGGTGCACACAAAGATCGGAGAAGTCGTCGGGAGCCACATGTCCTCCTTTGCGCTTTGGCCTGAAGATCTGCCATCGAGCCAATACCGAACAAGAAGTGATGGCAAGAGCAAATCTGATTTGGCACCTTGCGAGTCTTCCTAGCCTAGGCAGTGGAATCCTACTAGCCTCCACCCGAGTTGTCTGGAGCACGTTAACCAAACTCCGTCACCTTTTCGCGGAGCCCATTTCCATGTGGCGCAAACTTCAAGGTTGCTGGACCAGGTGCAGTCAGGGTATGCGACCTCTGACCCATGTGCTCTTGCTTCAACAATCTTCTGCCCCTGTAGCCCTCTGGCCGCATCAACCCTCGCAAAAAGGCCGCCCTAATAGTTGTTGGTCCAAAAGGTCCAGCATTGCGCTGCGCCATTCCCGATCCAGTGCAGTCTGCACATGATGCTCTGTGCCATCTCCGCACCGTTCAAAGGCCTGATACTGGCAGGATCTACAGGCTCCCCGCGCAAGGTTTGCTGCGAGCTCGGTAGCCGAGGCGGAGGCCCTTTTACTTTTACAGCCACCGTTCACACATGTACAACAAACATCAAACGGAGACAGCGGCCAGAAGCCTCCGTTCAGCTGGCCGGAGCTATCTTGCAGTACAGCAGGCACTGCCACTCCCTTTCCCAGCACGTCCTTGGAATCTTGAAGCGCGCAGGCTTTCCGGCGCGAGCAGCCCAGGGCCGAATCCGCGGCGACGCAGGGCGCTGAAGCTTCCAAATCGACATTCCTTGCGTGAGGATTTGCGGTGTAGGCTGTTTTTTTTCATCTATTCGTTGGAGTCCTGTGAACACGTGCACGGAGGGCCTGGCATCCTGCTACCTTTGCAACCTCTTTTTAGATATCACGCTGCGATCACCTCATGCCAGTCAAGAAGCCGGCACTTGTATGTCGCCCGAAGACCTGCATTTCGGGGAAAAGCTGTAACGCCAACTTGAAGGAAGAGAAGGTGACACTTGACAAACAGCATGGGATAGCTGCTTCTGAGAACAGGTCATGGACTGCGCCTGCCAAAGCGATTGCAGGCCAACTCGTGCGGGCTTGTCTTCCACGCCTGTACGAGGTGTTCTGCAGCTGTTGCCGGAGTCTCCATCAAACCCGAACACCCCGCCTTTCGCACTGTTCTTTGCGCTCGATGCAGACGTCTTTGAGTTGCTCCTTCGGAAGCCTTCGCAAGTTTCCCTGCTCCCAGAAACCTAAAACTTAAAGCGAAGCTGGGGCAGAAGGCTCATGTTTCCTCTAAATCTTCGACATTTCGATCAAGATCCCTGAAAGCACGAAGCGTGAGCAGGCTACATCTGATGATTTCAAGCAAACACGTCACCGACCTTTAGAAACTGAAACGACACTTGCCCAATTGGGATCGCTGAGAAGGAGGCCGGGAGGCGACGGTGACCTCCGCTTGGAGTTCTTCTTTACAGGCTTGCCCTGCAGGACCACCTCCATCAGCGCGGGACTTCCACTTGCAAGTAACGTCAGCCTTTCAGCAGTGGAACACCCCTGGCAAAAAAACCAGTCGCTTCCGTACAAGTCTTGAAAACTAAGCCTTATCAGCAGGGATTTCAAACTTCATGCACAAGTTCAAATCAGGGACATGTAAGGTCCGAGAAGGAACAACAGCAGCGAGATCTAACCAAGTGTGGTGCTTTGGCAGTTGAAAACGCATCCTTGCAACTTTACGCACCTAGCTTGTGCGGCCCCCTTTGCCAACTACTGTTTTTTTGGTTCTTGACCCGACTAAGATTATACTCCTCTTGCAGGATGCTAGAACCAGTCTCAGGAGATCATCTCACTGTGTCTTGGGGGCTGAATTGTCCCCATTTAGGAGCACTACTCACCTGAGCCTTTGACAATGATGAAGAAGAATCGTCAACAGTCCTAAACCTTAAAACACTATAAAACCTACACCAAAAAGCTCTAAACCCTAGATCTTGAAACTCTAAACTCCAGTTCCAAGCCGAGGTCTTGAGCTGCATGGGCCTGCATCCGCACGTCTTGCTTGTTCATGTTCTTCCTGAGCTCTCACTAGGTCAGTAGGTAGGCATAGTACAAAACACCACTGCTATCCAGCATAGCAGCTATAGAGACTGTAAGAAATTTGCTCGTCATTGCTTGGGTCCTTCCTTTGCTAGAGCTCTCGTTAGCCTCGCAGCCCCGGTGAGGAGACGGTCGTCTTTTCTACCGGGCGTCTTCTCTGCCAAGAGCTCTAAGGCCACCTCAAAGGCGATCACGTCGATGGTGCGCTGGCCTGCAGAGCTGCGTTGGCACCAACACTGAGTATGTAATAGTGGTAGCAGTGCTAGCCGCAGTAGTAGTAGCAGCAGTAGTAGTAGTAGTAGTAGGCGTCCCCCCCCCTAGGGCCTACACTTTACTTAAAATGGACTATAAT